AAAGAAGTTTGTAAACGATCTTGCGAAAAGTGGCATTGACCGAGGATAGTAAAACATTGAAAGCGATTCGTTGTCGGGCCCAGCCTGTATTGGTTGTAGAAGTCGTCACGAGATTGTTCTTTGTGTCGTGAAAAGTGAAATTTCGTGATGAAAGTAGGCAAAGCAAGAGGAACTGCCAAGAGGAAGGCAAAAGATATGTTTTAGCAAGGACGTTCCTGACAAGCTTTTGCCAACTAGCGACGACCTATCACCTTTCGATTTCCTTCCTAATGAAAGTGAATTAAGTTATTTGGACTTTGATCAAGATAATTTTAATCATTTAGATTTTTTTTTTTTAGAAAAATCTAGAGAACGAATCGTTCAATGATATTAATTCATTAATATATTAAATTTTTTTAATTCGTTTTTTTTCTCTTCTTTTATATTTGTTTCTCTCCTACATTTGATCTCGAAACGTTGTTCTATTTAAAATCAACGAAATCACGTATTACCTAGATCTAGCAATTTCATCTCGCCATAACTCGGACACTTTCTATTCGCATAATAAAATACGCATAATCAATTTTTGCGCGCATAAATATTCTTCTCCCTATATATGAGAGAAGAGAAAAATGTTTGCATACGATTAGTTTCAAATGAATAATTAATTATTAAATATTTGTACAAGGATTTAATTACCGAAGATATGATTTTTTAACATAAATTTGATTGATTCAACATACCTTTTGAAGCCCATACTTCTTGTTTTCTTAATCCTTCGATATATCTTGTAATATCTTTGGCACATTGCTCTTGAATATTCCCTTCTTGATATTTCCCTTCCGTCCAATTATTGGCAAGATAACGCACATTGAAAATATCTAGCGTTTCCGACAATGTAGTCCAATTTCCATTTTGAATTTTATATTCATCGGTTGAAGTTCTTAATCGTTGATTCACCAAAGGATTTTGTGATGGGTTTTCCGAAACATTCGAAGAAATCACTCTGCAAATCGCGAAGCATGCAAAAAGAACGACGAGATACGAGGTTTGATTCATTATTATTCAAATTAAATTTGCACTGAACACAATAAAAATGATTCAGAAATAATTATAGTTCTAATAGTTTGCGAATTATTCGTCGAACATATTAAAACTATAAACAGTTTCAATAAATATTAAATCTTTTGTACACTCATTAACTTTTATTCCTCGCTCTCATAAACGATATTAAAATGATATGATATTGTTTAATATCACAGAAAAAATAGACATCAAATCACACCGAATGCCCCCCTATTCTTCAAATAAATATCTTTACTGATTCTTCATCAACATTGATAAAGAAAAAGATATCTCAATCTCTTCAGTTTCTTTCAAAGTCATGTAAATCTTTGTGTTCGCATCTTTGGATTCTTCCAGAGTATTTCTTCTCGAAGGCGTTCTATCCTCGTTATCATACTTACGAGAAAGTAAAGAAACGAGAATAAATGAAAAGAAAAAGGATGATCCTTCCTTATGATTTTCACGATATGATTTCAATAATTTTAAACAGGCTTTTTCTTTCTCTGAACTCCGACTTTCTTCACTCCTGCGTGGTTCTTCTTTATTCGATGATCAAAGTTCACCGAGACCAACCAGACTGGCAATGGTAGAAAAATGGCTTCACCGGTTGAATATCTTGGTAGTAATGAAAGTGTGAGCAAAATAGTGGGGAGAAACTTCCCCCTGTTGAAAAGTGAGTGCCAGTGGCGATCTACTCGATATACACCGTGTTTGAACATATATATATTTGAATATGTATATACTCATAATTAACATAATTTCGTACCCATTAAAAAAATAAAAGAAAAAGAGAAAAATCTTTCTTTTTAAAGACAAAATTAGGAATTACTGAACATTTATCTTTCATTCTTTTTTTTTATTATACATAGAAGGAGTGCATTCATGAAAATATGTTTTCTGAATAATAAATATTTGGTCATTTCGATATGATTATAAAGTATGATAACATTAAAAATTTGAAGTTAAGAAGTTAAGAAGTTAAGAAGATGATTGAATATAATAATTAATAATAAATTATTAATGTCGATTTTTCTTCTTGATTTTAGTATAAAATTTTAATTTGAAGGTTTTATTACAAAAAAAAAGGAAGAAAATCAAATCTTATTCATTAAAATTGTAAATCTTATATAAAAGCATTTTGAATTGATGAAGATTGAATGGATGAACATGTTTGAGCAACATCTTGCATAAATGTTTTTTTAAAAAATAGATTTTCTTCTCTTTTTTAAGAATACTTAATTAATTATAATATATATATATAGAGACAGATAATGGATTTTATAAAGATAGAAGAAACACATAAGAAACTTTGTGGTCCGAAATGGTCACAATGAGAATTTTTCAATAAAGTTTTGCATGACTTCGCCTGAAATCAACGACAAAGTTTATTTCAGAAGTTTCACTAAGAAATTTCATATTATTAGAGGATTATTTCTCTTTCTCCGATGCAGAACTTTCGTCAAATGCCATCATTGGCTGCTCAACCGTGCTGAAATTCGTTTTCTTCTTTTTTTTGTCATTACTAAAAGTTTTACTGTCATCCTTCCTATAATTTGCGTTGTTAATCCTATTCAGCTCCTCCCAAAAACCATAATGACTAGGAAACTATCAATAAATCTTCTTATAACTGTAATCAATCGATGCAATCGTTTATGAACTTGCTTAGACAAAAATTATATTTTCGTTGAGAAAGTCATTAACATGAACAACAGTAAATTATATTCGTGGCACGTGTCATTAAAACGCGAGTCACGTGGAAAACAGATATAAACAGTTAAGAATTGCAGTAACTTATTTTTTAAGTATACTCACATTTTTATTGTTGCAATATTTTGCACGTGTTCATTGTTCTTTCTTATTTCTTTATAGAATATTAATTGAAACTTTGACCATGATAATTACTTATATTGAAGTTTGCATAACAGTGAGATCTATGAAAAATCAAAATTTATTTTAAAAAATAGATTTTTAAAATTTAAAATAATTGGAATCGATATAATTTTTTGTATTTTGTATTCATCAAAATAAGATATTCAAAATTCCTTCCATAAATCTATTCGGATTTTTAATCATCGTCTATTCTATTAATTTCATTTTTACTGATATTATTTGTATGGCGTATTGTTTTTATTTTTTATTAATTTTAAATAAATTAAATGATTAAATTAATATAAATAATATATAATGCAAAAACAATCTATGATGAAATCTATAAATGAAATTATTAGAATGGATAATGATTATTGAAATTGTAAATAGATTTATATTTATAAAAGGAAATGTTGATTCTATGTATAGAATAGAAGGAGAATCTTCATTTTTAACATTTTCTTTAACCAACAGAAATAAAAAAAAAAAATAAAAAATGCATGAAAAATAATTGAAAAAACTAATCTTGATAAAAGAAATTTAGAAAAAATATTTTAGTTATATACAAAATATCATATATACAAAATATCTATTTTTTAAAATAAATTAAAAATAGACAAAATTTATAATATATTATCAAAATTATTCGATTTTTTTTTGGAACACTCTGTTTTATATGTATATAATTTGAAATTTTATTATTTTAATTATATAATGTAATATATTTTCTATATATTTTAAATAAATTTATAATTTTTAAATAAATTTTAGTTTCATAAAAATTCGCAATTCAGTCCTGATTATCTTCGTAGATATATGCATAATTTTGAAAACTTATTTTTTTTTAACACGTAATAATGAAAACATTTATATTTTAATTATAATTAAAATATAATGATAATAATATAAACATTTATATTTACTGCATTATATAAGTATTATCTGAAAATGAAATTTTAATATAATTTTAATAATAATTTTTGATTTAAACAAATCAAATTTATTTTTTTTTCAGAATAAAATTTCTCGAATTATATCGAAAATACTTGAATTTTATGAAATTTAAATTTATGGTTTTTGATTGAAAATTTAAAATTTGATTGAAGGTCTTCTAATTATTGATCTTTTTTTAAAAGATTATATATATATATATAAATTATTGATAGAAATATTATTTGAATAAGTAAAAATAAAGTTTCAATTACAGAAATGCGTCTATACAGAAATATCTATACAGGAAATACTCACGGTCATTTTTCTGCGTTTTAAGATAAGCATATTCCATACAAGTTTAAGTCTAATTTTTTCCAAGTTTTTTGTATACAATGGATAGTACTACGTTATACATATATAATTATTATTATTTCATAATCATATTAATAATCAATAATATAATATTATTAAAAAGCTGAAGTAATAAATAATATCTTTATTATTAGTTATATTAAAAAAAAATGATTTATTTATTAATAAATAATCTCGTTTTTCACGAATAAATAAAATTCTAATAAGAAACTTTGAAAAATAAAGTAATAAACAATGAAATAGTTGATTAATTCAAAGAATAATATCACTTGAAAAATATTTTGAAATCTTTGTAAAACATTACTAATGTTTTCTATATATAAATAATAATAGTTAGTGCCATGTCACTAAGTTTTATCCTTACAAAGTGAGAAACACTTTCTCTGATAGAAACAAGTGAAAGGGGAAGAAAGAAATGAAAAGTGAAAAGAAGTGGGGAAAAATAAAATGAAAATAGAAGGGAAAGTGATATAACAGTTCAAGGAGTCGAAATCTAACGGTATTATTTAGAAACGAAATAACTATATCCGATCGGTAATCTAGTTATTTGGTCACAATTTGAATTATAGATGAAATATATATGTAGTAATATTTTATAAAAATATAATTATAATTATAAATATTCAAAAGTTATTATATTATTCTTATTGCTATATTTATGATTTATAATTAAACAATTATACTTTAAATAATACTTATTTAAAGTAATATATTCCTTATATATATATTATTTGATGTAAACTTGCATAAGAATTTGTAAATATTTTATAATGTATTAGATTTTCCTTGATATTTCCATATTCTTTTTTTCTTTTTCTTTTTTTTTTTATATATAAAAAAAAATAATTTTTTAAGTTAAAATAAAGTTTTAAAATATTATCATATCAAACACGTGAGAAATATTGAGAAACTTTCTTTTCCTTAATTATTAAAATTAACTAATAATGGATATAATAATTGATACGAAAGGTGATGAAGATTTGATGAAGAAAGATTGTTTAATAGAAAATGATGATGATTTAGATTTTGAAAATCATGGTAATTAAGTTTGTTTCACTATAATACTTATAGAGGTTATAGAAATTAAAAATGTATGATATATATATATTAATTTTTTATATATATTAATTTAACAGGTACACAGGCACTCAAATTTTTTGATATAGAGGAAGATTTAATTAAAAATGAAACTACAACAAAAAAGATAGTAGTTCGTAATGTAACTAAAGATATCGACCTCGACGAATTTGAGAAAGATATGGGTTGGTCAAATATAAGAAAGAAAAATAATCCAATATTTAATCAGGATGTAACTCATTTGACACAAGAATTGACAGCAGTAGATAAAATACTTGAAAAAAGTATTATTCAATCTGGTTTTGAAAAGTTAGAAGCTGTACCTCCTTATGAGATTAGTACAAAATTGCTAAAAGCTAAAAGACGTAAGGAGCGTAGTAAAACTAAGGGCAAAGATTGGTTTAATATGGGTGCTCCTGAATTAACACCAGAAGTTAAACATGATCTTCAAGTCATAAGAATGAGATCAGTATTAGATCCTAAACGATTTTACAAAAAGAATGATCTTAAAACATTACCACGATACTTTCAAATTGGTAAAGTTATTGATTCACATTTGGATTATTATTCTGGACGTCTTACTAAGAAAGAACGTAAGAAAACAATTGTGGATGAACTTATGACTGATGCTCAATTCTCTAAATATAATAAACGTAAATATAAGGAGATCATTGATGAGAAAAGAAGATTGCATTATAAAGCTCATAAACATGCAAAGAAACTTAAGGGAAAAAAAAAATAATATATGTAATTAGCATACATATTTCAAATCAACATTTTAAATATATTTGTAATTACATTATTTCATTAAATGTGTTTTAAATTTATGTGTTTTTAATAATTATAAAAATATAAAAATATATATGTAGTTTTAACATAGTTATAAACAAGGTTAATATAATCCTCCTGTAACATCTATGGATGCACCATTAATATAAGAACTCTTGGAAGATGCTAAAAATGTAATAACTTCTGCCACTTCTTCTGGTTTTCCCATTCTATGAAGGGGAATTCTTTTTATAAATAATTCCTTTATATTATCAGGTATAGTTTTTGTCATAGGAGTTTCTATAAAACCTGGTAGCACAGTATTAACACGAATTCCAAATCTACAATATGATTGATAATATTATAAATTTATAATTATATAATATTTATATAATATTATATAAATATTATTTTGTTCTTACTGTCCAAATTCGAGAGAAGCAGTTTTTGTAAGAGCTATTACTCCAGCTTTTGATGCAGCATAATTGGCTTGTCCCATGTTTCCTATTTTTCCAATAATAGAACTTATATTAATAATTGAACCACCTTTATTTACATTAGCATTAATCATTTCTTTTACTGCTGTTTGAATTATAAAAAAAGTTCCTTTTAAATTCACATTAAGTACTTTATCAAAATCCTCATTAGTAAGTTTCAAAATGAATTGATCACTTGTAATACCAGCAGAATTAACTATAATAGTAGGTGGAGTTGAATATTTATTTATTGCATTTTTAAATGCTTCTTTAATACTTTGTTCATTTAAGACTTCTACATTTAATGCTAAATGTTTGGTATCTAAAAATTATTATATAAATTTTATTATATTATTATTATTTATATTAGTACATAATAAAAAAATATTTTGTATCAAACCATTTAAAGATCTAATAGTTTCTTCAGCATTTTTTAAGTTTAGATCGGTAGCAATAACACTAGCTCCTTGTTTTGCCAAAATATGGCATACTTTTCTACCTATACCGCTTCCAGCACCTATAATTATAATAGATCTAGTAAAAAATATTTATCATAAGTATAAATTTTCGTTTAATCTTTAATTTTTTTTTCTACAAATACCTGTTACAAAAGCTATTTTTCCAGCTACCATTTTTTTTATTTTTGAAAACGATTAGTACAATATATTAATACAATATAATAAATAAATTATAAAACACTAATAATTTGATCTTATTTATACAACGTAAAGAAATTAAATTTCACTTTATCAAATTATTTTTTTTTTAATATTTTTTTTTGTTTTCTGATAATACGTAATATAAAAACAAATAGTAAAAGAACAACAAATATAGAATAAAAATTAAAAAATCATCTCTAAAACGGCTTAAATAAAACGTGAAAAACAACTAGTAGAAGACGGACAGAGATAAGATAAGAATTAACTATTAACGTCATCTTTGAATTTTTTTTTTAAATATATATATGTATAATATATAATATATAATATATAATATATTTAAATAAAAATAAACATATATATATTTATAATGTAATATATATATATAAAAATTGAAAATAGAATCTATCAAGATTTTTAATTATTAAGTTAAATAAAGAAAATAAAGTATTTCAGACATCAAAACCATTTTCTATTGCATAATTTTACAGAACTAGATAATTTTGTAGAAATAGAGTATAGAGAGAGAAGGACAGAGATAGTATAAAAATTCAGAAATCAGCGCCATCTATAGAGTGCCGCAAATGAAACACAAAAAGAAAGGATAGCAAATAATAAAAGAAGGATAGAGATAGATAAGAATTAACATTTGGCGCCATCTCTTGAATATCTAAGATACTTTCTTAAAAATAAAACACGTAAGAATTGAAAATTAACGCCATCTCTTAGCATTTTTAGAAAAATATTTTTAACATTTAAAGAAATATTTATCTTTAATATTCAAGAGATGGCGCTGAAAGTTAATTCTTAACTTCTCTGTAATTGAAATATAAAAAGAAAGAATAGCAAATGATAAGAGAAGGATAGAGATAGATAAGAATTGTCTATCTCTGTCAACGCCATCTCTTGAATATTATAAATAACTATTTCTTTAAATATTAAAAATATATTTTTAAAAATACTAAGAGATGGCGTTAATTGTCAATTTTCATTTACCTGAAAAAGTATTGAAGAAGTGTCTTTGATATTCAAAAAATGACTGAAAGTTAATTTTCTATCTTATCTTTATTCACTATTTATTATGTTCTTTTTATATTTCATTTATACTCTAGAGATGGCGTTAATTGTTCAATTTTCATCTTTTCTCTTTCTTCTATTATTTCCTTATCTATATTTGCTCTGCAAAATTTATACACTTAAAAAACGGTTCCGATATTTGATTTACTTTTATCTTCTTTTATTAATTTATTAATTAAAAATTTAAATAAATGGAAAATTTTAATAGAATATAATGTGATCTAATTTATATATATATATAAATAAAATATTTTTTATATTTTTATATTTTTTATATTTTAATGGGGTTTTACATATTTTTTAATAGGTAAATATTCTAATAGAAATTTGTCTATTTTACAAATATGAAATTAGTTTTCTAATGTTAATCACTTCTTATTTCGAATAATAAAGATAGTAATCGAAAATCATTCAAAAAGAAAAATAAAAATAAGAAATACTTGCTTGATTTTCATATAATTTTAATAATAAAATTTTTTTATTTTTTACCAAATTTTTAATCATAAGATCTATGAATTTAATATATACAATTCATGAAAAGAACAACCAAAGAAATTATTTTTAAAATCTATCTTTATTATGATTTATTTAAATATAATTTCTGTACTTACCGTTTTAAAGCATTTTAAATAGCCTGATTTTTTGCGCGATCGGTATTTCAGAATATTGAATATATAGTTATATTTCATTTGTGACAAGCTAATAAAGCGTACATAACGTCACCAATGACCAAAAGGCTCTCCTGATTGGACGGATTGTCAATAGAATCATAATAGCAATGAAAATTATTCATAAACTATCTAACTATATATAATTTTATTTATTTATAATCTTTAATCTTATGAATTCCTAATATTAAAATTTAATTTTCGTAATTTATATATCAAATACTATTGAAAGATGTAAAAAGAATTTAAAAAAAAAATTCAGTAAAGTAAAGTTTAATTTATAAAAGAATAAATACAAAATTATTATTTTTTATTATCTTTGTTGATTCAAAAGCTATAGTGATAAATTTTTGAATATTTATATGTAATAATAACAATAATTATACAAACATTGAACCAATTAGAACTTCTGTTGCCTAGGTAACCGTACCATATGCTGCTGACGTCAAAACACGTCTGCACTAGTCTGCAGTGACGTCAGGAACGCAATGCGAGTAGTTATGTTTATAGAAAAATTGAACTTGAATTATAGACTTATTCCAAATATTGTTTTTTAAAAAGATGGTAAAGAAAGATTTTAATATTTTGTAATATTAATATTAGTATAGATTTATTTTCATAACTATTAAATAGAATAGTTTTATTATACTAACAAAAATAGTGCAATAAAAATTAGATTTATAAAAATATGAAAATATTTATAATGATAATGCAATAATATATAATGCGTTAATTTTAAAATAATTTTAAAAATTAAATCATTTCATCATAAATTTGTATTTTGTGCTAATTATTGAGTTTTTAATGAACAGTTATGATCAAAAAATTTTATAAACTACTTTAAATATAAAACAATATGAAATAAGAGTTTAAAAATAAAAAGGCAAAAAAGAAAATAATATTAACTTGAAAAAATTGCAAAGAAATTGTATAAGTAAACAGGTAGAATTTAAATAGAGGAAGAGGAAGAAAATCAGTTGGAGGGGGACGGAAGATTGTACGCAGAGACTGGCAGCACCGACGCTTCAAGAAACATAGCCCCGCGCCTCTGCGTGGCGCCACGGCGGTCCGTGTGAACGCGTACACGGAATTTTCGTGTCGTAAGTTCGAGGCAGCGACAACTACGTCGCCGTCTTTCTTGTCCTCGACGTTGTCTTCCCGTCCTCGTCGATAGAGGAAAAAGCTATACTTTATATAGTTAGCTATGTCCTCTTCACGAGGTAGCGGCCCGGAATCGGGAGAACTCAGTGATTCCGAGGACGGTTATTTGGATACAGATCCATTAAGGTATGAGCTGAGAAATATACAAAATGTGATACACGTTACTCGACAAAACATTGACGCTCTGAATAATCGTTTTGCTGGATTTCAACATCCACCTTCGATATATTTGAATGAGTATCAAGAATTAACTAGCAAGTTGCATGATTTAGAATCTAAGGAACAGAAGCTCAATGAATTGTTGAATGCTGGTCGAGTATCTGGTAGTGCTTCCACATCAGAGAGTGAATCTCGTGATGCTAATGCATCTGTTAGAGGTCAAAGAACGCCAATGAAATCTCTGCTCAGGGCATATTTACCTAATCAACAACGTACAAGTGTACAAGTTCGTGAAGGACTTTCATTAAGAGATGCACTTGCCAAAGCAATGAAATTACGGAATTTAACTACAGAAATGTGTGTGGTATATATTTTGGGTGCAGACAACTCCAGATATCTTACTTCTTGGGATACCGACATCTCATTACTTGACTGCGATGAAATATCTGTGGAAATTTTGGATAAGTTTCCAATAACTACTTCCATTTCTCATAACTTTGTGCGCAAGACTTTTTTCTCACTAGCATTTTGTGAATGTTGTAGAAAACTCCTTTTTCAGGGATTTTATTGTAGAACTTGCAATTATCGGTTTCATCAAAGATGTGCTGGTGGTGTACCTGCTTTATGCCACCAAGTACGTATGCAAGATGCTTATTATCAAGCATTGCTAGCACATAATCTTGAAAGTACTGCTGGAATATTACAACTTCCTTCTGGATATGGATTAAGTAGAAGCATGTCTCCATCTCTTGCTCCATCAAGAAATCAAAGGCATCCACGTTCTTTGGGACAACAAGATCGTTCCAGTTCTGCGCCTAATGTTTGTTTTAATATGGTAAAACCAAGTGGAGAAGCTGCTAATATAGACGAATACACTAGATCTCAGAGTTTAGGTCGTCCTATTGGTACCACACAAAGTGCAGTATCACCTGGTAGCAGTCCAACAAAACACAGTCAGTCAACACAGGCTAGTCCTACTAGTACCTTAAGACCAAAAAGACCAAGAGCAAGATCAGCTGATGAATCATCTAAAAATCTTTTAGCACCTAGAGAATCCATAGAGGATTGGGAAATTCCAGCAGATGAAATCTTGATTGGAGCTCGTATTGGATCAGGTTCTTTTGGAACAGTATACAAAGCTCATTGGCATGGCCCTGTAGCTGTAAAAACACTCAATGTTAAAATACCCACTGCTGCTCAGTTACAAGCATTTAAAAATGAAGTTGCAGTTTTACGTAAAACACGGCATGTAAATATTCTTTTGTTTATGGGATGTGTTAGCAAACCACAACTAGCAATTGTTACTCAATGGTGTGAAGGTTCTTCATTATATAAACATTTACATGTATTTGAAACAAAGTTTGATTTATTCACATTAATAGAAATTGGAAGACAAACTGCACAAGGAATGGATTATTTACATGCAAAAAATATCATTCATCGAGATTTAAAGAGTAATAATATATTTTTGCATGATGATCTCACTGTAAAAATTGGAGATTTTGGTTTAGCTACAGCAAAGACTAGGTGGTCTGGTTCTCAACAATTTCATCAACCAACTGGATCCATTCTTTGGATGGCACCAGAAGTTATAAGAATGCAAGAAGAAAATCCATATAGTTTTCAATCTGATGTTTACGCATTCGGTGTGGTTTTATTTGAATTATTATCTGGCCAACTACCATATTCGCATATTAATAACAAGGATCAAATATTATTTATGGTTGGACGTGGAAATTTACGTCCAGATTTAAATAAATTGCGATCAGATACTCCTAAAGCACTGAAGAGACTGACAGAGGATTGCATTAAATTTTCCAGAGAAGATAGACCAATATTTCGTCAAATTTTAGCTAATTTAGAAAGTCTTTTACGAGGATTACCTAAAATAACCAAATCGACTTCTGAACCAAACTTAAACAGGACGCAGCTACAATCAGATGATTTTGTATACACTTGTGCTTCGCCAAAAACTCCAGTGAATTTCCAGTTCGGAGCATTTTCCTTTTATCCTTCCGGTGGGAACATATAAAAATATCACCCGAAGTAATGAGTCTGATGCAATTTGCATAAAATTAAATATTTAAAAAATTTTAAACGAAATCGTAATAAATTTAGCTATGAACAATCTATGCGATTCTTTCCAACTACACTTTGACTGTGTTGCAATTGTTCGCTCGATGTAGAATGTGATTATACAATACTTAATGCAATTAAGACAAAAAAGATAAGGACAGAAATTCATCTTATTAATTGACGTATCCGATGTATTTCATGGCAAGAATGCATATATAGCTTTTACCTTTACATACTTACTATCTATGAGAAGAACTTTTATTTAACAAGTTATCGTTTGCGTGTATCAACACATATTCGTAAACATGTGTATACACTCATGAACAAATACACGTGTATGCGTGTCGCGTAGAGGTCTGTTACTTTTGTGGAATCCTTATGAAGGATGTAAAAATAAAGTAAGTAATAGAAGTAACGGCATTTAAATTCGCGTGGGCCGTCATTTGTCTGTGAAGTATTTTTGCAAACGCCGAAGTGATTTTTGTACCTACTTCCTTCATGTTTGTCTTCAACATGCTCACATAAGAATTGTTCCTTTTCATATCATTTATAATTTATAGTTTAATATTAGAATATATATAAGTTTCATTAAAATTATCTAAAATACGCGTATATTATTTTTAAAAACGAAATGTAGACTCTTTGAACTCAAATTAGATATTCTATAGTAATAGACGTTTTATAATAATTACCTCTTTTTTTGTAGTAATTGTTTTCGATATATAATCATATTTGACTGATATTTTTTTTTATATATTTTTTTCTACGAAGTAAATTCTTTTGGTTTAATGAAACCAAAAGATTGTACTGTATTAAAAAATGACGAATGAAATTGAAAGTCAAATAAAAAGTGATATATATACTTGGCCTTTATTTTAAGACTTCATCGATATTATAAATTATAATGATAAGTCGTATGCGAATTTATTTTGGCTTGATTTGAAACATTATTAACGAATCAAGGCCTAAAGATCATTTAAATTCTCATTGATGGTAAAAAGGAGTAACATCGTATTGCAACTTAGATTAAAAAAGGTATTGACTAACTTCCATTTTTTTTCCTTACTTTATAGTCGGCTATTGTTCCTTGCATTTTAATATTTATTAATTTTTATTATTATTATTATTTTTTTTTTAAGTTCTTTTTCATTTTATTTGAGGCTTATAATGTAGGAAGAGGCGCGAATTTCACTTCGAAGTGATAAATTCATAAAGTATTTATTACATAGCATCAAAGACTTGAGTTCTATGAGATGATTAAAACTTTTGTTAGGATTAAACGTGTTTCAGATAAGGGCCCGATGAACAATAAATATGTATAAGGAGAATGTATGCAGTATAAAGAGTATTCAGCGAAAAAGATAAATAATAGAGGAAATAGAGGAAACTTTTTGGCTTGTGTGTCGTATAATTTAGGGGACGTGCAGTAGTAAAAAAAATTAGTGAAACTTTATTCGATGGGCATCTGAATCACGCTTACGCGATCAATGATAAACTATACTGACTACGTAACATTTTGCATCATTGATTCGCGGGCGTATCCTAAAATTTAACATCGATGCGGCACTCGTCAAATCGTGACATATTTTCTGAAGCATATGAAAAGGCCTAAGAGCAAATCTTTAAAATTTCATTAGTTAGAACGAGTGATCTTGTTTTGTTTAAAGCACGTGACAACCCGATTTATTATTTATTTATTTATATATAATCTAAGTGTGATGAACTGCAATTAAAAAGTAAAAAAAAAAATGAAAAAGAGGAAAAAATTAAATAAATAAGTGCCGGATTATAAAATCTTGAGAGTGTGTGATTGCGAAGAACTGTGAAAATGTGAATTGTAGGAGAAGAGAAAACGTGTTCGAATGTGTGTGTGTATGTATGTATATGCGAAAGAGAGAAAGAGAGAGAAAGAGAGAGTATGAGTGAAACGAAAAAATACCAATGAACACGTTCGCCGGAATAAAGGAATGCACTTGTCATTGTTAATGACGCTTTCTCGTAAGGGAAATAGTGAACTGTGAAACATAATTAACAATGTTATAAAAATATTAAATGGAAAAAAAAAATGAAAAAAAAGGAGGATGTTATGTAAGGTGCGGGGGATGACTAGCTTTCTAATAGCTTTCCGAGGTTTTTTATAGTGCAATTTTCTAGATATGGTAAAATCTTTGAAAGGATACGAATGGATACTCTGCGATGTACAATGGTTACGTTGTATAATATAGAAATTAAAAACCTATTTCTGCATTTTTTACTTATGTTTATATTTTAAACTATTTTATTTTTGTGATACAATTCAGATTTTGTAGAGCATGTTATCTATTGTTTGATAGAATTCTTTGTTAATCCTTAGTTAATTATGTGAAATAATTTTTTTGTTTTTATATAGATTTTGATTTTGATGCTTTAATTTATTGTAGAGAATATTAACATAGTACGAATGTTTATTTAAATATATATATAACATACATGAAGAAATGACGAATATAAACTAAAAAGAAAGCAAATTATAAAATTTGTAACCCTCGCGCTCTACGTCCTCCTTAATCAATCTTCCTATATATCACTATCAAATTTTAGAATATTATTTTCTCGGAAAACATTCCTCTGTACATTGCTTTAATATATATCGTACATATAGAAGGACTTGTATGTGATTACAAAAAATGGAACGTGTTTTTGTGTCGACCTGAAAACTGAGAAACTTTATTATGTTGTTTAGAATTAAAGAAAGTTAGTTCTTCGAGGCATAGAATCAAATCGAAAGTAATGAAAACAAATGAAACTGATCCATTTAAAAAAGAATAAAATCTAGTTTATTTGATATTTTTAAAAAATGGAATAATTTTTGATCTATAAATCTTCAGAATTTTTTTTAAATATGAAATTCGATGAAATTTATGATTTTGATACATCAAAGAAATTGATAAAATCATTTTTGGACAAAATGAAATAAATGAATCATTAAATATCGAATTTACTTTACTTTCCTCGAATCCTGCCTCGAACTTCAACTAGGTTTGACACGAAAAAACGATCGGATGAAAGATATTTCGTTTGATTGACAGACGTCGTATCGCACGTATTGACGTATTGTAATAGAATTTCGGCTCCGTTTTGGTCAAATTACGCTGAAGTTGCTGTTGAGTGAAATGCATGTCTTGTAACAAGATAGCGTGGCTGAGATTGGAAATACTTAACACAGTCAATCGTGACGATCGATTGATCATTGTATTCAACACAAAAAAAGAAAAAAATTAAAAAAAAAAATGAAAAAAAAAAGAAGTAAAAAATAAAAAGTTGACTCTTCATGTAATAAGTCTCGTTATTCCTTTAACGAAATTTAACATATTTCATCGATTAATCTAAAATATTATTGTTAAAAGAAATATGCTATTGATAAAACTTACAAGTGTGCTTTTGGATACAAAAATTCATTCGTAATTTTTATTGTTTCTTGCAGAAGCAATAATAATACTCGAATAATGACACTTCATAATATCAGTATTATTAAAGTATATGAATATAGTATAAGTGATAATTTTGTATAATGGAAAATTTTAATTAATGTATTCATTTTATTAGAAGTTGTTATTTGTATTAGAAGTTAATCAAACATATTATTTGTTTTGTTTAAAATCGTATAGCTTTTTGAATTATTAAGTAGATATATTCACAGATCTATATAATTTGAAAATATAAACGAGATTAATAATAAAAATTCAATTAAAAATCTTCTTTAAAATTGCACTTAAATATTAATCAAATCAAAATACAATTTTATTATATTTATATTTTATTTCAAAAATAACTTGGAGAAAACAATGAATACCACTGCCCTACATATGTTGTTCTATGTAAAATAATATTTGTACACGATAATCTTTTAAAAGCAATACGTAAGTACTGTATAATTGCATTTAAATCAAACATTGTGTTAAGTTTATATAACTGTGAAATTTATTAGCATTTGCCATCTGCTGTGGTGTTTTGTTCAAAGAGTTGTGAATTAATTAGAATTTATTGCAAATCGATTTTTTCTCATAATTATTTCAAATAAAATTAAGTAAGTATGAACAAATTGTTTTTTTTCCATTTTATTATTTTTAAGTTAAATTTAATGTAAGTATACATTATATATAACTTCATATAACAAATATTGGATTGTATGAATAACTTATTATTTATGATTATATAATCATTTTGCGCTTCAAATATTGCTCTTAAAGTGTAAATATGATTTAATCTAATGAATATCATAGTATTGATGGTAGCTTCTAAATGCAATCATGAAAATCAAGAATCCTTATCGGAAGATCATGACATCGCAAAACTCCAGTAACGAGATTTTATAAAGTTCTTTGTTCTATTCTTTTTATTCTGCGGAAAATCTAATTTTTAATAATTTAATTTAATCTTTATATATTAAATTGCATTAAATTTATAATATTCGCTTTTTATAAAAATGATCTTATATCAAAGTTAGATGAGTGAACATAAGGATATGATCGCATATAAAATTCGAATATATGTATATTATATATATAGCAAAAAATTCTAGTATTAGTTGGTACACATATAAACAAGAACGTATATATATAGAGATTAGAATCAACAACACAAATATATAAGTCTTGTATATGTACTTGTAACATGAGAGTGTATATGAGATGTGTAGAGGGAGCGCGCATGCGCAAATCCAGCTGGCGCCTTGACCGGCAGAATAGTCGATGCTGGAACTTCGTAGTGCGAGTATCTGTGTTCATCTTTAACATTTTGTCATCGTTAATTGGTACGCACTTATATTCGCGTATGTATACATATATTTGAGTCATAGAATAAGTGAAGAGTTTCATTTATGTACAATCGTTGTGAACAGGTGGATATCGAGGTCGCTTGTATTATTGCGTGAAACGAGGTTAGTTAACTTCGAATCGAATTTCGGGTGGTCATTTCAAAGTAGAACATCATGAGAATATTTGCCTTGAAGAAATAATCTCTGTTTTTTTTTACAATATTCAAATTAAAACGAATATGATTACGGATTATGTTCATCTCTCAATTTTTTTAAACGATATTTCATCATAACCAATCAGTCAAAAATAGTATCGCGTGTTCAACTGATCAGAGTTTATTTGAGTTTTTTATGAATTTACTAACTGTTTTATCTTTCTAATATCTTTTTTACATCATTTTCATGATATTAAGTTTAAACAACGTGAAGCATTTCTGTATTGAATGGATACCGGATATCGGTATGAAACATTTAAATATTGACAGATTGTTCGAGTAAACGTTGTTCCAATTTATTGTACTTTCAATAAACAGTGAATTATTTAACATCGAAGTATTCTTTGTCTTTTGCCATATCATAAAAGTAAGTTATTGAATAGAAAAAAATGTTATGATAAGGAAATTGATGAAGATCAATTGTATAATGATATAATTATAAAAGTACGGATTAATTGTGAAGTTATTATATGTCGATTCTATTATATGTCGATAGCTATTTAGAATGCTATTTGTCAAAGAGATAAAGTGATATTGATATAATATAATTTAATCGTATTCAAAAAGAGTATTGAAGAAAATGACATTGACCGACAAATAAGAGAGCAATCGTAGCGTATAAATTTTATGCCGCGGAATTGAATGTTGATTCAAACATTGATGTAGCATTAAACATTTTTATAATTGCTGTGAATATTACATTCTTATTTTTTCTCCAATGTTAGAATTTTAATATTTTGATGTTTATAACTTAGAATGTTTATTTAGTTGATTATGAATCTGTTTTTGATATATTTAATAATGTTATGCTACGATATAACAAATGTTATGCTATATCGTATCAATATTTCGATATTATTTGAAATGATAAAAGAACGTTTGAAAAACTTTTCATTTCTTCCAAAGATTTATGATCATATCGCGTAATTTGATTTCACATTTAGATAATCGTTATAATATTATGCCAAGATTTATAAATTTCGCATTTGTGGTTTTTTTAAATGTCGTTCCATTCTTAGACACGTATATGTTCGTTAAAAGCTGGAACATAACAGATATCGTGCCAAAGTTAATATCGATCGTTTGACTTTTATAATTTATCAGGCCCTTTTCTATTATGTAAAATTATTATATATTTCAAAAATTTTTATTATTAATTATTCTTTATTATTTAACAGACATCTAAATCTAAAAATCTAATATCTTAATATCTAATATCTAAAAATGCATTTTTTTTTTAACATAAAAAAGAAACGTTGTTTGCCTACGTCTTTTCTTCCAGTTAATGCCATACACTGTATTTGCTTTTCATGTTTCTTGTATCTGTTAAGCTTATCAGTGTGCATATATTAAAAGAACACGTATAATTACTCGCGTTTTCATTATTTATATATTCTCTCATCAGAATATTAGTGTTTTAATCAGCTCGTTATTTTATTTCTTTTTAGAAATCTGTATCGAATTCTAGTAGCAGAATAAAAGAGTTCATCTCGGAAGGAGACAGAGGAAGAAGGCTAGAGGATCAAATAAATTTCGTCTTATCTCTCTCTTGTTCCTGTCAGTATTGTCTCTGCCAAAGACTGCATCGAATCTGATTTTTTCCATTATTTTTCTTCTATCTTCAAGAATTATATTATTTTGTTTTGATATAATTGCTCGCTAATCCAACGATATTCGTCGCTGAAGAAACTGGAACAACCGTTGTCCATAAATAGTGATTACAAGACTTTGCCAACTCGTTCTTGTAATCGAAACATGTGTCAGTCACGTTCTTAACCCACATATTGTCCAAATATTATATCTGTACCTTGTACAGTAGAAAGTAGCTGCAGAAGGGTGGAAAAGAATAGAAATTTTCTCTATAAATCGATCATACTATGGAAAAAAAAACTTGGTCGATTAACGAATCGAATTCGATAAAATTGATTTGAATATTATTTCCTGATTAAAGTTCGCTCTTGAGGATAATAACGAGTTCGACGAGTGAACGAATGTGCAAAGCAATAGAGTGGGAGAATGAACGGTTGGCAGCTTTGGACATGGGATAGATGATAGATCGTAAATAATGGGGTGGTAGAGCGAACAAGAAGTGCAAAATGGATTGGGTGCCTCGGCTCAGGTAGCCAGAGACGACAAAGTCGCGGGCACCAGGGCAAACGAGCCCCGAGCTTCTAGCAAAGCTTTTTCTTTTCTCTGTCTATCTTCTGTTCAAGAAAAAAAAGATATCGCATGGATGGGCGTTATTGATATTTTTCTGAAAGACTGTTTTTTATTTTTTGTCGTTTACCGATCGGTGTTATGAAAAAAAAAAAGACTGAACGTGATAATCAATAAATCAACCAAGGAATTAATCCGCAAGCTTTATCATTGTCGGTGAAACGTATCGGAGGAAAGATTGAACCGATTAATCGATGCAACAGTTCCCGGATTTATTCCAAGAAGGAGAAGAAACTTGATACGAATTTACACGTGATCTCTGATCCAACAGAACGCTCGCGTCTGACTCACAAAAAGACTGAAGAACATACGTTGATTCATTTGTCGAAAAATGTTCGCATATTGCGTTCTGTAGAATATATACTGGCTTTCATTTGTTGCGTCACACGTACATATCTTTCGGGATCTCATGTAATTGTCATACATACACACGTGCATGTACACATACACAGCTTGTCATATCAGCTATATGAGCTTTTGAGAAATTTCTGACGAACATATACACAAAACATTATACGCGTGTCGTAACACGCATTTTCGATTATTATACATATTGCAAATATATTGCGTACATGTACATGCGTATAGAAATAATATATATATATATATAAAATACAAAATATATATATATGTATCTATGTACATGTAAAAAATCTCTTTCGCTGCCTAATAGAAATATTCGTGGATAAAGTGGCGCATATGATACGGTAAAAGACCAACTTCTGTATTGATATATCTGTCCTTTTTTCTATGAAAAGAATAATTTCTTTATGCCAGAAGATATTTAATTTCAAGGAAGGTATGTTTCTTCTTTTTTTGTTTTTCTAACGAAACACGTATTGAGAATAACGCGTGCAACGAAAAACTAATAAAGAAAAGTACTCAGAGTAGTGAGAAGTGTAATTGAAGTGTGATCGTTGCACGGGCTCGCAACAGATCAGGATGGGTTGTGGACAGAGCAAAATCGGCAATATCTATCCAAAAAACAAGAAGAACAAAAACAACACTGGCAAGAAAAATGGAGATTCTATCGGTGAGTAATTGACCGATAATTATTTTTATTTTCAATGTAAAACAAAGTCCACTTCAGTTACAGATGTTTCAAAGAATTGAATTTGAAATTTAAATTTAATTTACTTTATCCACATCTTTCTCCCTTCTTTCATCTCATAGATATTCTCTAAAAGATAATGATCATTCAATATAATTATAAATTGATACAAAATAGTTAATTATAAGTTTAGATGCATAAATATAATGTAAATATGTAATGATTTGACTAGTTTTCTTCATGGTTGATAAACGCGGAGGAGATTGGCATTCTTCGTGTAATTAATGTCGTTTCTCGTTAATCTAGCTCTGTCGCGTAATTGTTGACCCGATGACGGTAATTAAACAGATGTGTCTCAATCTAGGGCATCGACACCCATCGCAAGTGATTAAACGGTCACTTTGATTATTCTGCATTTCTTTGTAGCGAAATAATGTTTTTCTACACGCGAAAATGAATCGATTGAATCGAATTCTACTTTTAAATTGCATCTTTTACATTTTAAAATAGTAATGGTATTTAAAATTACATATTTGATTAACTTGTGTCGTAATCTTATTTAAGATGATAAATACGCTATAAGAACATCATAATCTTGTGAACAAGATCAAGGTCAAAATTGTATATTTAATTTAAAAAAAAAAAAACTATTAAGAGATTAAGAAACTATCATATTCTTAGCGGTTATTATCTGTTAATTAACTTTTAATTTTTCATTGTGAATTTTAGCTTTGAAGCTTGTCCATATAATGTATAATATTTATACATTATATAATATATAATAATTATTTTGAAATAATCAACAAGTTTTTGGAAAAATATTATTAATTTGTTTTATTCATCATATCCGAGGACGGAAAAAAAATTTTTCACTGAAAATGACAATTAAAGATAAATTGTCAAATCTCTAGTTTAAAATTACATTCCAGAACAGGTGGAACTTAACCATGGATCATTGCAGAATAGACATCCATATTTAGATTTCACGGATCTGTCTCGAGGCTAAATTGTAATTCTTGTTGTATAAGTACTACGCTACTAATTTCTCGTTTTTATTTGTTTTTAACGTAGTGTAACGAGTTTTTTCATGAGAATCATATCTTCTATACATACATATTGAATGTTCATTCGCATAGAATATCTTGTTTTTAGTAATTATTTTCATTAAAATAAATCAATTCTTTTATCATTGAATCTCTTATAAGTTTATCTTACTATTATTTTTACGTCATTACATTTAGTATCGTTGACTCATATTTTAAATCAAAAAAACGTATTTAGCTTCTTATGAAATTAAAATAGTAATATATATATGGATTTATCATCCAAGTATCCATTTTCAATTTTTTATTTTACTTGTAAAATCTATCAGATAAAATAGATAAAGTTTAATGAATATTTTTTCAAATTAAAAGATGATAATAATTAAACGTATTATATTTCTTCTTATAATAATTCTTCTTCTAATTTAAAAATAAATATATTTTATTCCTAGAATAGATATATAATAGAAATAAATATATTTTTTATTCTTTTTATATTGATAAATTTTACAATAAAATTTTCGGAAATTTCGTAACTGCTGCATGAATCATATTATCATTAATATCTTATTCTTTTTATTGATTTCGATGAAAGATGAACAAGTACAAGTAAATGAATGTCGAAAATAATTAATAGATAAGATGTTTCATGAATTTGTTATCGTAAAATTTTATATTAGAATTATATATAATAAAATCTTGTCAATAGAACGGCAACAAGTATATGCCGCGTACGTGGCCACGCACACGTACGCACGCGTGTAGGACCGATCGATTTTGTTCTTAACATATATCACTTGAGGTAGATTAGGTTCTGGGTTAGGTCATGCTAAAGGGAAATATAACATAATATCTTTTGAATAGTAAATTAACATTCAACAATCCTATTCTACTATTGTTCACACGCCTGTTTCATCTGTTAAAAATGATCTTTTTGATAAGTATTAAATATATTTGATGACATTCTCACGAAATATTCTTTATTGATTGACAAAAATTTCCTTTCATTCATTCAATTTGTTTTGTTATCGTTTCATTTGTAGAATGGATTCTGTATTTCTATATATTCTGATAATCAAATGTTCAAACAATACGATGTCTATTTCGAGCTATGTTTATCGCCCCAATTTCACTAGCAATAAATTATCAACGATTAAATAAAGATAGATTTTCTAAATGGTAAAATAACGCGACCTAGATTCGTTGATTCTGTTTTTTTTTTGTTTTTATCGATTTTCTTAAACAAATATATTCTTATTATATTCTTATATATTCTATAAAATTCTTAAACAAATATATTTTAATATTAATGACTATTTTCCATTCAATGATTTGTATATTCATAATAGTAAAATACATATAATAATATAATGATAATAAAAGAAAAAACAAATTGGTATATCACACGACTTGAAATCGCATGTCGGATCGTGGTTTGTTGTTTACCGGCTTCGACGGCTGCGAGCTAAATATATCATGCGATAATTCTGATATTTATATCATTATGAAGGCTTTGCTACAGTACTTTGAAACTCTACTGTTTAATAATTTTTTATATATGTATCAAAATTATATATTTTTAATTATATGTATTTAAATAATGGCTTAAATAACAATTACGTAATGAGATCCTTGATTCTATATCTATTGCTTAACCTTGAAAACGATCGAAGATCATAAAATTGTACTGAAATCTATTTGTTATATCATAAAAACATTACATTAAAAATAAAATATATTGCATATTTTGTAGAAATTTTTTATGATATCAAAATTGAAGCTAAAAGTATATTTTTTATTGACTATTTCTAATATAATATATTTAGAAAGTACAAAGTATTTAGTTATTAATACTTTACAAGTACAAGTAATTATTAATACTTTATATTTTATATATTATTATTGCAAACATTCTGCCAAAAAAATTCATAAATACTTCTATTATTATGTATTATGTATTATGTATTATTATAAATATATACGTAAATTCAAAAATATGTATATATATATATATATATATATTAAGAATTACTATAAAAATTCATTGTATATTATTTATTATTTTTCAAAATAAGTACATATACATTATACTAATATATCAATATGATTTTAAATATTTGAAAATATATATTTAATTAACGCAAATTGTTTGAATATCAAATTTTAAATATCATATCTGAAATATTACAGTTTTCAATTTTCTACTAACTGTGAAATGTTGCGCGCGCACTTAGTTGCCAGTTCACACTGTTTACAACGTTGCCATTATTTAAGCGGGAGTATATGCCGCCAAACGGTTAAAGTGCTTGTTGTGTGCATGCAGACATTCGGTATGTATTCATATCTTGGATCGAGTCGCGTGTTCGAGTTTGATTTCTATAGTGTTTGACCGGTGTTTCGTCAAAATACGCTAAAACCGACACATCTTTACTTGGTAAACAAGACAAGTTCCAAGGCCTAAAGCTGATATTATCGTACTTGGTAGTAGAGCAGTTAACGACTTGCCTACGTGATCGTTGTTCCGCCTATAAAAGGGTCGCGTCTCTCTAGCATCAGTGTCTGTCTTTCGTAGCAATTTCGTGTGTAAGCATCATTCGTTTCTATTATTGAAAAATTATTGAATTGTTTCGGTACTTCCTCTTATTTATATCTAACGTTTATTGATTATTATCACGAATTTATCGATATACGCAACGTTATAAAAGTGAGGTTAAGTAATCGGTACGTAAAAGAGAACACTTATCAATCGGTGACAGTGAACGGTTTTTATTGTACGCTGCTCATCGGAATTGACATTTTATCTGAGTGGAAAACCTTTGTCCTATCAGGACGTCGGATTTTGAGAATAAACAGAAGAAGGCGAAGATGTGGCTAAAAGTACTTAGGCAAAATATATCACATTTTGCCCGTAGAACGAAAGGTAATGTTTGTTCATTCAAATTAGAACTGAGAGGGGAAATGAGTTGTTAGTTATTGCTATGGAAAAAATATCTAGTTATAGATATTAGAAATTAAACGATAATGCAGAAAATATAAAGTTTTTTTTATTTTTAAATACTTTGTAACCAGTAATGAATACAATTATAGTAGAATAAATAAAATAAAATATTCATGTATAACCTCAGTGTAGGTAATTCTATCCTCGAATTAGGCTGCATTCTAATTTAAGCCCGTCTCGCATTTCGCGGTCTTTCGGAGAAGTGAATTGTGGAATGTGCGGTGACGATGCTGTTGCAGCTGCATGACTCACAGCTGCTTCAGCAATACATATCCGGCTTTTACATTATTCTAAGTTTGTTAACCTTAAAAAATTATATAAATATGTTCCATATTTAAAATGAAATTTATTGCATGTTATATAACTTTAATGCAATTATTGTGATAGTTAAGTTTTGCATTGAATTATAAATAATCGAGTATTAAAAACTTAGAAATCGAATATTCTGCAATTATATCTTTTTATCAATAAATAATTTTTGATATCTTTAATAAGAAAGTACACACTTATTATATTATATATATTTATGTGCAATCAATTTTTTTAAATTTTAACAATTATTGTCTTAAATGTTAAAACTAATATATAAAAATTATATATATAAAAATATATATATAAAAACTATAATCAAATCATTTTTTTCTGATTAATTCAATCTTGAAAACAAGATATGAAATAGATGTTTATTTCAATAATTATTTTCAATTTATTATCAATGTATTGTTAATTTCAGAATAAAAACTTCCACCTGTATATCATGTATGTCATGCATTCATATAATGCGTTGCAATTTATTAATAGATATCTTATATGCATAAAGTATATAATTTATTATATATTACAAAGTAACTTTTTCTTTGGCACAAAAGTTGGATTTCAAATTTTAGTGCAAGATTGACGACTTGAATTATCTTATCGTTATTTAAATTTCTATTTCTAAA